CCCCAAAACCCCAAAACCCCAAAACCCCAGTGGGAGTAGGAAGGATTGAAGCGAAGGTTTTATACTGAGAAAGTTACAGTGAAACCAGCGTTTTTTAAAGTATTTTCTACCTGTTTGCTTGTGAGTCCGCAATGATAAAGTTCGATATGTTCAATAGAGAGCTTGAGATCTGAAGAAGTGCCGAGGCTTTGGATGAGATTACTAAATTGTTCGGGGTTCTTTTCCCAATCACCTCTAGTATCAGATCCAGCCCCATAAAAACTCACATTATTTTATTTGAGTGTTTTTCAAAAATGTCGAATAATTAAGAACCTTAGGAGTGAGAATCATGCAAAGACCTATTTGAAAGAATTCCACATGCTTGTAGGCAACAATAAATTTCATAAATTGCTTGCCTTTAAATAGGAATGCACATACATTTATTCTTTTGAAGACTCTCGGTGCTAGTCTGATAAATTTATTCAAATAAGGAGTAATAGAAAATGTGGGATTTGCACTAGCACTAATCAATCATTCATTTATTTTTTGAGGAAACTTTAGTTCGAAGAAATCATGAAGGTATTTATTCTCTCTTGACATTAGCCCTCCAGTAAACTTTTCAATATACATAGATCCCAATGAAGGCATTCTTTTAGTGAAAATAAATTTCCATTCATTGTGTGCATAGAAGTATAAATATTCTAGATTATAACCTTGGCCTGGTTGTACACTTCCTCTCTCAGCATTGAAGGAATGAGCATTTATTATCTTAAAATCATATTTTTGGATTTCTTCAAGTAATTGTCTTTCTCTCCTATATGATTGTTGACTTGGTTCAAACTTGATATGGATGTACAAAAATCTTGGTTATAAATCACTTTTAGCTTTTATTGTTTGAAAATAATAATATTTTAGCCTATTTCTTGTTAAGATATGAAAGATACATGAAGATAGAGCAATATAAAAAATAAACCGATGGTTTAATTAATATCCAAGTTTAATTTTCCTTGAAAAATTAAAGGAAAAGAATAGTTCGGCATATTTTCCTTATTTATCAGATGAGCCAATCGAAAAATAATAGTTCAAAGATCCACGATAAAATTATATTTTCTTACTTTTTATATCTCTCCGATTTAGATAAAATAGATATAGGTAAGGGCTCCATTAATTCTCAATAATATTTATAACCCCAGGGGTTTTGGGGTTTTGGGGTTTTGGGGTTTTGGGG